CTCAATTGTGCTTCGTTCAGTTGCGTGACTAAATATGGTAAACTTAAATTCAGTTTATCAGTGCCGTTCTAATTTTATTTAAAAATGTAAAACTATGATGTAGAACGGAGCGTGGGATAGACTCAATAATATGTTGTTTTATTTGACGTTGTGAATAAATGTTGGTAGTTATTAAAATTGTTACAAAAATATATAATTCTAATAAAAATAGATAAGTTATAATAATTATAATACAAACATCCGATACGCTACTGAAGATGCTACTGAAGCAGGTAATCTGGTAAATCAAATTGACGTATCTAAATTCTTTGACATCTAATCTTTGACAAGTAGTAAATAAAAGCAAAAATGCAAGAAAAAATATATAATTAGTTAATTTAAATTGAATTTCATAAATGATCGGTTTACTACACGTATGTATATTATATAGTCACTTACTAGCGAAAAGTTGTTCCATTATCTCATTCAATTTTTGCCGAGATCTGCCGCACGCTACACAACCAGCTATTTTAGAGTCTTTTCGATAAATCGCGATGAATACTGTTAATTAAGTTCTGCCACAATTTCCATCTAGATTTACTACCTTTATACACAACTATCAGTAGTAAGAATAAATAATAAATAACATAAAATAAGGTCCGTAAAGACTGACAAATTCATAAAATTTCAAATCAAATTCAAATGTGTCAAATGAATCGTCAAACAGAACTGTCAAGGATCCCCACCCTAGAGTGCTTTTTCCGCCCACCATGCATGAATACCTGGATAGCATTATGTTTCTTCCTTAGTCTTCTTATTCAAAGGTTCCTAGATATGTGAATGTATCTACTTCTTCAAACTTATATATGTATCGTTTTCTACAATCATGACTTGAGCACAAAAACGAAACTTGTAGTGTACCGAGCAATAATAATCTCCACCATGTTATATGGAAGCGAAACCTGGGTGCAGTACCGCCGACACATGAAAGCATTAAACAAGAAGTTGCAACAGGAGACACCTTAGACAACTCTTAAGAATCAAATAGTTCCATTATGTCTCAAATGTATCGGTCCTGGAAAAAGCTAACTGCGACAGTATTGAGGTCATGATTACACAATCCCGCTTAAGATGAGCTGGTCACGTGTGCAGAATGCAAGAAAACCGCATACCAAAATCTCTGTTGTACGGTGTTGAAGCATGCAGACGGTAAGAGGAAGCCGGGTAGACAGCTCAAAAAGTTCAAGGATATTTCCCACGAAAGTTAAAGGGGATTAACATGAGTGGGAAGCAACTCACAATAGAACGCAATGGAAAAGGATTGTAAACTCAGTTAACGGCGACAACGAAAAAGTAAAGAGGCAACAAAGCAATGAGAGATTTTTGAATGTCCGGACTGCGGTAGACAGATAACATCACGTATCGGGCTTTCCAGTCACAGAAAAGCTCATGAAAACGCATTGCGTGACCATCTTTCGATGCGTGTCGAATACTCGTCAGCGAGTAATGGCAGTATGTATGTAGTATGTATGTATCGTTTCCCTCTGTCAGAATTTATTTGTAGACATCCTCCCTTCTCAAAATCCCTATCTGACCACTCCATAAACTTAGTTTTCGTTTAATTAAACACTAATGCCCACTTGCCGTTTGTATAAACTTCGTTTAAAAGGCTAAACAGTGATTAACTGTATAATATTTTATTAGTTAATCATTGTTTAGCCTCTAAGCCGCCACAAACGGTGAAAATGAGCTTATAAACTTTTTTTTTTTTTTTTTTAAAAATAATTATAATAATCAACGATTAATTAATTTTCTAGGGCCGTCCGATAATGGCGCGCATCAAAGCGAAACCGATGTGCAGGCCGATCGCGCCTCTGGTTCCTCCCCCGCCCCCCAAGAACGGCTTCAGGGCTACGCCCCCTCCACAGGCCGTCTTCGACCCGGCTGCCTTTCCCCCCGGACAGCAAAGGTTCGTTTATGCGAACGGTGCCCCAGGACAGCCGGTAGCCCCCGCTCCTGCCGCTTACAACCCCATAATCTACGTAAGTTTACAATAAATTTTAAAAAAAAAATTGCTTGGACAGAAGATAATCAAAGGCCAAAATGACTTTTCTCGCAAATTTTGAAGTATAATTAGTGGAAGTTAAAAGTTTGACTTAACTTTTCTATTGAAATGTCTGCATTATTAAAGAACAAACTTCTACGCTAATTGAAACCACTAATTTATTCCACTAATTGCGAGGTTCTGAATGAAGCTTTAGGAAGTAATATATTAATAGAATTTTTTGTGAAATTTTTAAAATTAATTATTGCTTAAATTATAAGTTCTACATTTTTCGAAATATTGAACGAAACGATGAATTAAAAAAACATATTTTAGGGCGCCTATCAGCAGCAACAGTATCCAAACGCTTATGTGGCCTGGGCACCATCAGGTGCCGGCTTTTTCGATTTAAGCAGCGTGTTTTCGGCGAACGGTCTGTCTGCGCAACCTTTTAAACATCAGACATACAGATCCGCGCAGCCGAGGCCGAGGAACAAACAACGCAACACGCAGCAACAACAGCAAAGTGGACCCAGCGAACAGCAGGTATTTATTTCATGTCTACTAACAAAAGGTTAATTATTATAAAGGTATAATGTTTATTGACATTTCTGGAAAACGCGTTAAGCTTGATTTTTATGCGTCCGTTATCCGTGGATACGATGGTCCGACGGCGCTGTGATTGGTCATAGCGTTTTTGCGCCACTTTTCATCTGTATTTTTTTTACTCCAGCCCATCAACGGAGAAAGATCGTACAATAAACGACGTTTTGACACTTTTTTGGCAAATTTAACCCAACCTTAATAAAAATATAATAGTACAAGAGCTAGCAACGTCGGGAAAACTAGAATTTTAGAAAAGCTGGTTCTTTAATATATCTTTTGCTATGCTCTCTTGACTAAAGTGCGGGCCGTCTGGCTACCGGTAGACTACTGCAGTTCACTACTGCGCATCACATCTATACAGGGTATCCTATTTTTGTGTATTTTATGTGATTTATCGTTTATGAGAAGAGATACAATGATGCGATTTTCACATTACTTTGCTACTTTTTTATGAAACTAAATATGCTACACATAGGTTTGTCCTAGCCTCCTTAGTTCCTGAAATACAGGGAGAATTTGTGATGTGCAGTAGTGATAAGATGTTAAATACAGATATGATGCGCAGTAGTGAACGTAACGTATACCGATAGCAGACGGAGAGCCTAACATAAGATATATTAAAGAACCAGCTTTCTTAAAATTATCTCCCGAAAACGTTGCTAACTCTTAGACGATAAGTATAACAGCGAAATCGTTATGGAAATGAAAATATACAATGACCCTAATTACAAGCAAATCATACATCCGGTGAACGGAGGCATGAAAATGCAATAAATTTAAAAACTGCGTAATTTTCTAAACAATCGAAGTCTTTAAATTCAACCAATAAAATTAATATCATATCGTATCCGTAGACAACGGATGCATGAAAATCAAGCTTTAATCAAATTTTAGGATTCTAAATAACAAATAGATTTCATAAATACAACTTTATTGTTTCAATTTTTTAGGGTCCTTCGAACACTCAACAGCCTCGTGCCACGTCGGCGTCGCAACAAGGTCCCGCCCACCGAGTCCCTTCCCCGGCGCACGCCCACCACAACCACCAGCACTACCCGACGGTGTCGGCGTCGTCGAGGCCACGCCTCCAACGGCAGTAACAACAACGGCAAACGCGAAGACGTCTTCCAAAATGGGCGGGGAAGGGCGATACCCAGGACGCCGATCGAGCCGCCGGAACCGGTGGGCGGACACTATATCCCCGCGATACCGCCCATAGGCGCCATACCGCTTCCCCCATCCGAGCGACAACCGAATGGAAATGTACGGCTTCGTCGCCCCGCCTCCTTCAGCGTGAAGGAAGTGGTCCCGCCGCGGCACAGGCGGCGGAAAAAGCGCGACGAGGAGGCGGGAAGCAGGACGGGACACACGAACGGACAGAGTTCGGCGCAGACTCAGACGCAGTCCAGTCAAGTGGTCAAGTCACAATTCGATTTCGTCGACGAAGCGTTTCCTCCTTTACCTGGTAATTTTTTTTTTCTTCTGATAGAATTGGTCACTCTTCTTAAAGGCAGAGATTGACTTGAGCTGAGCGTTGTATATAACGTGTTACAGAACGAACATTCGCTGAGTCAATGCCGGGGAAATAGTCGACGAACTGAGAGGTTCGCTAACAACTGTGCTTCACTCGACGTTCGAATTTTTAGCGAATTGCTGCAGTACAAGTTAGTACAGGTTCGGCTGAACGTCCGTATTCCAGTCATATTTTTGTGGTACTAAGCAGGGTGCGACAAATCAATTTTCTATTTAAGTTCTATCCTAAATGGCTAAATGTTCGTAACTCTGCCTGATATCGATAATATTAACATTGTACGGCGCGTGATGTTTTTCCACATCGGTCACCGATATATTTTATTCTAACATTGCCGATGCTCCTATTTCCGCCAAAAATCGGCCGCTTAGATCAAAGGCATTTTTTGGAAATAGTCATGACTGTCTTAAGTCGAATAAAATTAGTGCCATCTAATGTTCCAAAGTGCAGAGTACTTATTGCAGAACAAAATGTCGGTAGAAATTTGGAAATGAACTAGAAAGATAAATTAGGGGAAAACGCAAGTTTGATTCACCTATTTCAAGAAAGGTATAAAACAGCCTTGACTCCAGCTTATCTTTTGACATTGATTAATCTTCGAGAATAAAAATATAACCTGACATCAGAAGAAACTAGTCCTGCACTAGAGTTTGTGAATGAAATGTATCCAAATACCAGATTTCTGGCACTTCACAATTTCAAAATAAATCTCTGCCATTTAGAAGTGTAATGAATTCACACGAAATAACTTCAAAAATCGGTCGAACATTTTAATAGGATGAATAGATATTAGGGATATGATGTTATATCTTTTACAATTATTTCTCAATCTATTAAAGTATTTAAACGTTACAATTGTAGCAAGTGTAACTTTGTACTTATTTGATGAATATAAGGGTATATTTGATATGGGAATACTTTTTCTTGCTTTATAGGAAAAGATTTTATAATTTGTACAGTTATCTTTCGATTTTATCGTTTAAAACAAGCTGATTTTTTAATTTAAATCCATGATTAAAATAAAAAATCTGTTGATTTCAATCATGATTTAAATCAAGTTGATTTAAATCATTGTACCCTGGTACTAAGGCTTGGCATTCTTTAAAGGCTAAAAATACTGGAGCACAGCGAACTGAGTATTCGAAACAAGGTTTTCTCGTTTAGATTGGGAACAAAACGAACAGCGAATATGCGTTACGTTTCAGCGCTCGACTCAAGCCAATCTCCGCCTTAACAGTTGAAATATTAATGTAAACAGCTCTTAGAATTGTTTTTCTTCTTTTTTATGGATTTCTTTATCAGTATGGTTTTAAAATAGGTCTGGACGCTAATGGACCTCTCTCTGCCAAACACCACCATCACCACAACCAGCACACGCACCAAGCGCAACAAACGCAGTCGCACGCCGAAGGCTCGACGCAGACGATATCTAACCACGCCCCCGTGGGCGTGGTAGCTGCTGCGCCAGAGCCCGCGACTGTCGGAGGCGGTGGCGGAGGAGGAGGAGCAGCCGGAGCCGCGTGGGGGGAGAACCGTCTGGCCGACGTGGTTAAAGGGGTAGCTAAGATAAAAGTTAGGGGGGAAGGATTGGGCAAGGACGTGGCCATCGGGGGAGGGGACAACGAGATTTCGCTGACGAGTTCGGCGAAAGAACAGAGCGTGGAGAAGGTTGACGAAGGTAGTATAGCGGAGGTCAACAGTTTTATAGGTGTGACGCCTCCCGAGTCGCCACAAAAGTAAGTATTTTTATTTACAGTCACATATTAAGTAATTTCATATTATCAACTGTTAAAAATTTTGAAGTTCTTCAGTATCCATTTTCTCATTTATCTTAGCTCTTTCTGCTGTTTTTTTAGTTCTGGTAGAGGTACTACCTATGTTAAAACAGTTTTTGCTATTATCACTTTCTGGCAACTTTTCGAAATAAAACATTGAACTTATACTTTTTATTAACGCTGTGTTTAATAATGACAGTTAGAATGTTTTGGCGATAGAAATCTGATATTGACTTTCTGTCTGTTTTGTTTACAAGAATATATTCGAAAACTGTTTTGTTTCTTAGCTCAAAGCTATCAATGTATTCTTCCTATGGACTTCTTTAATCCATTTCGATCTGATTGTCTTGGATTATAAAGTATTTCAACTTAAAGTTTTTTCAACTGAGTATGTGTTTCTTCACAAATATTATCCAAGGTTCTCTTTTTGTATTGGGTAATTTCTATATGTCTATGCAAGAATAATATAATTTTGTTTCAAATGTATTTACTGTTCCGTCAAGTTGCAAAACTCGCGTTATCCCACAAACGTTTCAAGATAATAAGCAAAAACGGTTTTAGCAAATGTTTGAAGCGTTAATTTACAAAAAACGTGTCCATTGAGTGGAATCATTGTTTTGTATCTTGTTTTTCTAGAAATAAAAACTAATATTTAAATTTTAAACAGAAAAAACACAAAAATAATTCGAATAAGGCGGGTTTTGTTGCAGTATGATGCATATTGGCCATGAAATGAAGAACGCTGTCATTTTATATCTAAATTTATATGGGAAATGTCATCGATCGTCATTTCCTAGCCAACTGGACGCCGTTTTTTTTTCCAATCATACGGTATTTGCGTCGAAACTGGATTTATTAAATATACTAATTTATTAAAATTAAGTAAGGTTAGGTTGTAAAGACGTCAGCACTAATATTATACTTGTGTAAAAAGCTTATGAAAAAATGCGGGATTTCTACCAATAAGAACAATAAAAAGCAAATATAAGTGGATAAGACGAATTTTGCTGCAGTAACGTAATTTGTAGTAAATTTTATATAGGAATAAGCGACTTTTACTGCAGTTTGGGATTATGTTTATTTAGACTTCAGGGTCCACTTAATATATGTCATTAGGCCATTTTTTAAAAAAATAATGGATAAGGCGGGTTTTGCAACTTAACGCCTCAATTATAAGTTGTGGAAATTATATAATTTTATATTTTTTGGGATAAACACTCAGTATAGAAAAAATACTAGTAAAGAGTTTTCTGTTAATTTTCCGTTTATCCAAAAGAGTCAATCAACTCTTAAATTTTTTAAGTGTAATTATTCTAATAATATAGGCACTTTTTTATAAAACTTATTGCGCAGTATTATGGGGTCAGAGACTTTCTTTTATGATTAATTTATATTTCTTTTGCCGTCCAGATAGAGAATTATTAAGATTAAATAATTTGGTGGATATTGATTTTCTTTGGAGTATATTTTTATTTGCATGTAGTAAGTTTTCTTTTGAAATAATTTGCACAGTAAGAAATAAAAATCCCATTTGTAGAGAGTACTTTCTGTTTCTGTTAATGTCTCTTTTACACAATTTTTTATTGCTGTCTTCGAAAATTTGTATTGTCAAATTTTCAACATCTTTTAAATTTACAAGCTATTTGTTTTTTAAGGGTACAAACATAGTAGACCATCTCGATGCGATGCTCGCCGCGATGCATCCTACGCGCATGTTTTAAGCACTGTTTTAAAACGGCCCTTAGTGAGTGAATTTAATGTAAATATATTTGTCTCTTTAGTTTTAGCAGTAAATCTGTGATTGCGACTGTACCTACGAAGTGCACAATGGCCGATAAATCTACGAAAACCGATGACGTCCTACTCAACGGATGCGAACCAGAACTGGCTCCTCTCTGTCCCACCACCACTAATGCTGCTACTATGACTACTGTGGTACGTTCAATATT